GGATCACAAGTGGGGTTTGCAGTCTGGGAATCACCCAGACAATTGCAGCAGGAGCTCATGGTGCTGTGGCAGAGCCAGTCAGAACATAAGGGATTCCTGTAACCACTGATTTATGTAGATTCACAGAAAAAGAGAAAAACCTGTGGTGTTTTCATGTTGAACACATGAAATGTAGAATACATTATGGATTCATCTGCAAACCAGATAAACCTGAGCACGTCATATGTGTCTACCACTTACTTTTGATATGCTAAATTTGCAGCCTAACCACAGTTTTTTTCTGAGCACTGCAAATTAGTCCTCTGTAAAAAATGACTACTGACTGACTAATTACTAAGATTGCATTAACATTAATGCTCACAACAATGCACTCCCATCCCTTATTTCCCCACGGGAGCAGGCATGCATGTCCTGTCTTTACCATGGTTCTTGCACAGCCTCAGGGCAGGGCAGGTGCAGCTCAGCTGCTGCTGCTGCCTGGGAGCCCCTGATCTGCCCCAACTGGCCCCCACCCTGCTCTTATCACTGGGGACAGCTTTGCCTCTGAGGTAGCTCAGGCCTGGCGTGGATTTGCCACCTCCAACCTCTCTCCAAACACGAGGTGTCTGAATCTTCCTGTGACGTGGGCTCTTCATCCCATACCCCAAGCAGCAGTGGATCGCTGCCTGGCCAGATAAATATTGCCATCTGCTTCTCCTCCCCAGGCACTGCTGAGCCATCGCTTCCTCTCCGTGCCTGCTTCCCACGTGCCCACATCAGCCTCTGATCATCCCTGCCGGAGAGACACTTCCCAGCCTACCCTCACCCGCAGCATGGGCATCCTGGGCTGGGCACGGCCTGACACCCTGCTCGTGTCACCCTGCCTGACACCCTGCTCGTGTCACCCTGCCTGGCACCCTGCTCGTGTCACCCTGCTCGTGTCACCCTGCCTGGCACCCTGCTCACACCTCCGGGCACCCCATTGTGCGAGCAGGGCGAGTGCTGGGCTCGGTTTAGACACCGCCGGGGTTCTGAGTGTCCCCTGAGTTATTTCAGAAGGTGACAGCATTGCTCAGATTTCTAAAATGGCTTTGCCAGCTATCCATGTATTCTGCATGCAAAGCCAGAGTCATGTGTAGAGCAAGAATAGTTAATGGACAGGAGACAGGAATATAAAAAGCACCTCTCCCGAGGCCAGCGCTGCTACAGGCTCCTTGGGCAGGCACGGCTGACCTTGTCAGCTGCCGAGAGTAAGCAGTGCTGGGGAAAAGCACAGGGCTGCAGTTAGGGACGGGATTTCAGGGGCTAGGAGCACGTTTCATTCCCATAACTGTGTGATCCTTGTTTTCCTCTATGCCAGTCTGTAGGAGGGATCACATCACTGGTGGCTCTTACGTTTCGTGGGGTGCTCCAGCGAGAGAGACCCCGCCGGCCCCGGCAGCCCCCGCAGCTCCCATGTGATGGATCGCTGTTGCAGATCCCTGTCCATCAGCCGCTGCCGTGATTCCCGGCTGTGCCCAGCTGCCGCAGGGATGCTGCGATCGTGCCTCCATCTTGCAGCGGCAATACAGGGGAAGGCTGGAGTGGGTCCCCGGAGGGGGTGGATTCGGGGCTCGGGGAGGGCGGGGGGCGGCGGGGCCATCGCCGCACTCCCCCAGGCGCTGATCCCGCACCGGGGCAGCCGCCCCGCCCCGCCGGTGCCGGCACCGTCCTGCGCGGCCGCGGGTGCCCGGGGAAAGAAACGGGTGAAATGGAAAAAACCGGGAAACGCCTCCCGGGAACGCTCCGGCGCCGGTGCCCGCGCCGTGCGGGGGAGGCTCCGGGGATGCCTCTGGAGGCGGGGCCGGCACGAAACCCCCGGCCGGGCCGGGGGGCCGGGACAGGGCGCACCGCCCCGCGGGGGCCGGGCCGGGCCGGGCCGGGGCCGCCCCCTCGGAGTGCCCGGAGCCGCGGGACACCCGCGGAGCCCGCGCTCAGCATGCACGACTACGATGCGGTCACCGCCTTCCTGGGCGAGTGGGGCCGCTTCCAGCGCCTCGTCTTCTTCCTGCTCAGCGCCAGCATCATCCCCAACGGCTTCAACGGGATGTCGGCCGTGTTCCTGGCCGGCACCCCCGAGCACCGGTGCGCCGTGCCCCGCGGGGCCAACCTGAGCAGCGAGTGGCGCAACGCCAGCATCCCGCTGGAGCTGCGGGGCGGGCGGGAGGCCCCGAGCCGCTGCCGCCGCTACCGCCTGGCCGCGCTCGCCAACTTCTCGGCGCTGGGGCTGCGGCCCGGCTCCGACGTGGAGCTGGAGGCGCTGGAGCAGGAGCCGTGCCTGGACGGCTGGGAGTACAGCCGGGACGTGTACAGCTCCACCATCGTCACCGAGGTGCGCGGGGCTGCGACATCCCACCCCGGCCTCTGCCCGGCCCTGGGGTGGCTTCTTCTGCCTTGGGGAGGGTGCCCAGGGAGCAGGAGCCAGCGGGTGAAGCGCCTGCCGGAAAGGTCCGGCTGGGCACGATGCTGCGGGGAGCGGGAGGGATGCCGGGGGTGAAGGTTACTGGAGGACCTGCTCGCCCTCGCCATCTCAGCTGTGTTTTCCAGCTTGGCTTTGCTCGGAGAGAGGTTTGTGTGGAGGGGGAGGCAGGGGCTGAAAATAGAAGCCCGGTAGTTTCCTTCAGCCGCACGCTGACCATCCCGGTAAACTGTGTGTGATGGAATTGTTCGTTCTCGGTGAAGGGGACGCGGACACGTTCCGATAAACACACAGCCAGCCTGGCTGGGGCTGCAGCAGGGTGGGCGCTCGCTGGCCCCGCAGCCTGTGCCCTGCCGGTGGTCTCGGTGACCGTCAGTGCTGGGATGGGGGGTTGTGCGGGGCAGGTGCTCTCTGTAGGGCTCTGCGGGAGCATCATTTGTACGGGGTGCCTCGTGGGAACCCCGGCGGTGACAGGTCACGTTCGGCGGTGTGGTGGCAGGGTCGCGCTGTTCTGTCTGCCCGTGCGGGCAGCAGCGCGGAGCTCTGCTAGGGAAGGAGAACGATTCCGCTCCAGCTGTAGGATTGCTGCTGCTCTGCCACATTGTGTAAGGAGTTCCCGGGGATAACGGGCTCGCCCTCTGCCAGGCAACGCTTGGACTGGCCGCTGGCAGGCTGCGCTCCCTCAGCGTGTCCCAGGTGGCCGAGGGCTGCCCTGGTCACGCACTGATGGCTCACCCTCGGGGTGCATGACAGGGGGTGGGTGTGGAACCCTCCCCACGAGTCCTGTGACTCAGCAACATCTGCCACCAGAAAGCATTGCACGGTGGCACAGCCTGGAAAGGTCCTGAAGGGGAGGCGAGGGGTCTGTGCCCTGGGGACACGGGAGGAGGGGCTGGGCTGTGCAGAGGTGGGCTCAGCCACCTGCCAGGAGGGCAGGACGTGGGATGCCAACCTCCTCATCTGCCCAAAGCCAAGTCACTGGCACGTGTGCCACACTCACTGCCAGAGTTTATCCCGGGGTGTCTGTAAATTCAGTCTCTGGTTTGAAGTTAGTGCTTGCTCTAGAGAGGCAGTAAATGAAGCAAAAGGGGGAGAAATGTGATTCCTTCCTAATGAACAGTAAATAACTAGTGTTGGTAGATGCCAAACAAGAGCATTCCGTGTGGGATCGGATGGGACGCACCAGTGGGGTTTGCCACGAGGCCTGGGGTGTGCCAGAGAGGCAACAGCACATCCAGAGATGGAAACCAAGTGCCAGGTTCCCATCTGTAAGCCAGATGGAAAAGAAGGATGCTTGTTTTGTTTTAAAATTGTCATGGACATTTGGAAAAAATACAGAATTTGGTTTCAAAACAAGGAAAACAGGCACTGATGAAATGCTGAAAAGAGGCAGTTCAGTTAAATTTGAGATGTTTATTTTTGTACCCAACATTTTTCTCTGTATTAGGAAAGACAAGCCAGGACGTGCCATCGGGAGAGCTCAGGGAAGAAACAGCTTCAGTTCAAGAACTCAGCCGAGGAGCAGAACTTGATGGCACAGGATTAAGTGCTGGAGATTTAATTTGATTCACGCAGTTGCATTAAATCCTGTTATTACTGCTGCTTGAAGGGAACTGGGAGATGCCAGCTCAGCAGCCGTGTTCCTTGGTCTGGGGTTCTCTGTTCCCAGGGTTTAGCATGTCCTCAAAGACTCAGTTATCTGCTTGTCTTGTAATGGAGATGATGGGGAGAAGTGACTGTGCCCACAGCACAGGTGAGAGAGGTGACCATCAGGACAGGGGGATGTGAAAGAAGCTCTAAGTATAATGGTGAGCAGGTGGAAATGAGGGTCACTGTGGGGTCAGGTGTGATCCCACAGCTGAGGTGAAGGGGCTCCTTTTCCCCTTGGCAGGCTCACAGGCCCTGGTCATTGGTGTTCGTTTCTGGAACTTGACTTCTTGTGTTTTACATCCAGATAACGATGCTCAGAGCTGACATTAATTAGAGGTTCAAGGGCCAGCACCAGTTTTGCTCTTTGGAGTGGGGCATCAGCATCCAGTTGGTGCCCTTGAGCCAGGTTGTGACCCAGCACTGCTCTCTGGGGACAAACTGAGCTGCTCAGCACCCCTGGGCATGGTGTGTGCCCCAGACACACTGAGAGACCCCTGTGAGGGGCAGGGGCTTTACTGGGGCTACTCACCTGTCACCTGTGTCACCCTGCTCAGTCCCTGTCCCAGCCCTGGCACCGACTGTCAGCGAAGGCAGAAACCAGGAGCTCTGGGAACTGGCACAGGCGAGAGGCTGGGGAGGAACTGCTGTGGTTTGAAGGCATCTGAAGGTCTTTTTGTTCCCTTTTGGATTTTTCCATCAGTGGAGAGCAGCCCTGCCCAGCCCTGGGAACACACCCTGTGCTTGGGCAGGAGGTGCCTGTGCTCCTCACTTGTGCACCGAGCAGAGCTGCTCTCACTGCTGGGCCTGGTGCTCAGGGAGCAGGATGGGGCCATCTGTGAATAATTAATACTTCTTGAGTTATTCATCTTCAGATTTATTCTTGTAAACAAGCTCAGATTTTCCCTGGTTTACAGCCCTGGCCATTTACACAAGGCTCCACTAGTGTTTTCTCCTCTGATAGGAGTGGGCTGGTTGTCAGGATGGTTAATGAGTGATTTCTCATTGAGAATGCAGGTGGCTGGGTTGCTTTGGGCAGTCAGGACACCTTCTCTAGTGGTTTCAGTTTTTCAGAAAGCTTGGCCACCCACTGCTGTGGGAAAGGGTTGGAGGGATTTGATGGGAATAAATGATGGAATAACAGTGTTCTTGAGCAGCTCCTACCCCTGCATTCAGAGCTCTTGTTTGGAACTTTACATGAACTTTGCTCTCCAGTATGCTTAGCTAGGGACATTTCAGAATTACTGATTTTCTGGTTAATGAGTAATTAGTCCAGTAGAGACAGGTTGGAAGTTGTAGCTGTAGATAGTTCAGCTGTGGCTGTAGCTCCCATGCCCATGTGTGGTGCTGGCTGGGATGGGTGCACCCTCTGAGGAAGAGGTCAAATAAGTTACATTTCACTTTTCCCTTTAATTGAAGCAGGAGTGAAACCTCACCCTGTGGACATGTGCTTGATCCCATGCAGTGCCAGGGCACGAGCCTCAGAGTGTGTGGGGAGGTGAGGTGGCACTGGGGAGGTGAGGTGTACCTGTGGAGTGGGGCTGCACTGCCAAGGTCCTGTGGTATTGCAGCTAAAACAGGTGATGGGGTTTGTTCATCAGCAGCTTCACTGCAGGGCATGCTTGGAGTGGGCTGGGTGTGATGTGTCTGTGTGTTCTGGTCAGGTGCAGGGAGGTCCTGGAGACAGACCCCTCTCCAGACAGCTGCTGTGAGCTCTTTGTGACAGCCCCCAGGTCTCAAAGACTTGACCCTGTACAGTGAACTTTTGCTGGCTGTGCAGGATGTCATGGGAAGAGGGAACACCTGGGTAGGAGGCATTTGGCACCAAGGAGGCAGCACGGTTTTATGAACAGGTCATTGTTCAGCTGGGTTTGCTTTGCAGCCAAAGTGCCTTTGGCACATGGAGGCATTTTAAAAACACTGATCCTTAACCTTGAGCAACTCGAGTCTGAAGGTCTATGAACAGGTACTGTGCTGGTGAGCCCAGACTGGGGTGCTGAACATCCAGGTAATTAATGATAGTCTGTATCAGATGCAAATTCTACCATGTCACTGGCTTTCCCCAGGGACAGGGAGGTGCAGCAGGATGTGGTGAAACATCTCTGCACTGTACTTTTAATGCTGTGTTTCCTGTAGCTGAATGTTGGGTTGTTTTAAACAGAGGATTTGATTTCCATCAAGCCTCTTTGCAGAAATCTCCATTTCCTCTGATGGGTGAAGCAGATCCCCGCATGTTTGTCACATGTTTTTAGCATCCTTGGACATACCAGAGCCCCACTGACCCACATGCTTACATCCACCTTACCAAACCCAGTGAAGATAACCAGGAGTGTGTGCCTGGGTGGGCCCACACCTCATCACCTCATCAGCTCTGCTTTGCCAGCAGGGATGAGAAGACACCTCACAGCAGCTGCTGCCATAGGGCTCCTTTTGTTATTAATTTAAGTCTTGGAGGCTCATTTCAGTCCACCAGTCTCCACGTTCCAGCGCTGAAGATGTGTGTGTTCCTCAGGAGGAGGCACGGGCTGTGTTTTTAAACTCAGTTCACTTTTTTGTCCTGTGGCTGGTGTTATCTGCAGGCTGGCAAAGGCCAGAGGTGCCTGGCTCTCCAGCACTGGCAGTGGATCTGTGTTCAGCCTGGAAACAGGCACTGATGGCATCTGTTTCCTGAGTTAGTGCAGAGCAAACTGCATCAACCCACAGCACCCCCCTTGCTTTGGGGCTGCCCTGCCTGTGCTGCAGAGCAGTGAAGCTCAGCCACCGAGCCCTGCGGGTTTGGTGTTGGCAGGGCTCACGGGGCCATGGGATGGCACCGGGGTGTCTGTGTGACACCAGAGTTGCTCCTCGTTGTAGCCTGGGGCTGAGTGAGGACCAGAGCAGCCTGAGGGCAGCTTTCTGCTCCACCCCTGCCTTTGCCCGGGCTTGGCCAGGTTCTCTGGGCAGAGGGTGTGCGCTGGGGCGGGCCATGCCCCGCTCTCTGATAGCGTGCCTAATTATTCAAATTATGCCATACTTTGATCTGGGATCTAATTAGATTACCATTATGGTCGTATTATCTGATCTCAGACTGACATGTTTGCAGCCTATCCCTAAGTGTTCCTGGCAGGCATGCCTTAACCAGGAGATTAGTCACGGGGATGGGAACAAGCTGTGGCAGAGACAGGCTCAGCTGTAACTTCGGTGGACAGAGACTCACGGTGCCACTTTTATTTTTTTAAACCTTGTCTGGGGTTATGAGTAGTTTTAGGTGGAAGTTTCCATGTTGGCTTGTGTCCTAAATCTCCAGCCCCAGCCAGCTCCAGTCATGAGGCTGAGTGATGGGCAGCAAGTCAGTGGTGCAGGTTATGGGATGGAACAGAATTTGGTAACACGTCAGTGCAGGAAAAGAGATTTCATTCTGTGCCTCTTCTGGCATGTGTTTTATCAGCCCCAGAAGTTACTGAAACGCAGCAGGTTTTGTGCTGGCAGAGGTCAGGGAACTGGAAGCTGTCCCTAGCCAGGACAGTTCTTCACCCGTCTCCACTGCTCTGCTTCACTGGTGGGAACATCTCGGGCCATGGGGAGCTGGATCCAGGGGTCCGGTGGGGGATTGTGCTGGGAACAGGGCCAGGGCAGCCCCTGGGCTGCACACACCAGCTCCCATCAGGCCTGGCACTGCTGGCTGCTCACCCCTCAGCGGTGCCAGGGTCCTGGCAGACACCTCTCAGGGTTTCAGCCTCGTGGAGTTGCCTGGGGAGGGAATCAATTCCCTTTTTTTCCTGTGCTTTAAGCAGGGTGTTCCAGCAGTGCCAATGCCAGCAGTGGGTGAAATGTGGTGTGGGGAAATGGAATGGAATGGAATGGAATGGAATGGAATGGAATGGAATGGTTGGAACCGGGGGGGGGTGGTCTCCAGGCAGGGCCCCTGTGCCGGGCGAGGCTCAGCTGTGGCCGTGGCTGAGTCAGGCCCTTCTCTTGCAGTGGAACCTGGTGTGTGAGGATGACTGGAAAGCCCCCCTGACCACCTCCCTGTTCTTCGTGGGGGTCCTCATCGGCTCCTTCATCTCGGGGCAGCTCTCGGACAGGTAACGCCGTGGGCGGGGCAGGGCACGGCCGGGGCTTTGGTTTTGGGAGCCATAAAGGACTTAAATGTGCAATTCTGTGAGGTTTTGCTCAAAATGAAGTGACTGGCCTGGCTCCTTCAAAAATCCCTTGATCTGCAGTTGTTTCCTTATCTGGCATTTTTAGCAGTTTAAAGGATGTTGCTCTTTGTCACACATTAACTGACAGTCCCCTGTTAGAGCTGCAGGACAGAGACTTGCCCCTTGAATGGAAGCTCTGCATAGGAGAGCTGCTCTGCTGGAAATACAAGCACATCCAAGAGGAAGAAAAAAAGCAGATAACCTGTAAATGGATAGCAGTTGTGCCACACCATCTCACTAAGTAGATTTAAAGTATCAAAAAAATCAGTACAGGCGTTTAATCATTATCTCAGCAGTGCTGACATTTTGGCCTGACAGGAGTTGCATGCAGACAATACACTCCCTCTGCACGGCTCTGCTCCCCTCTCCATACAGCCCTCAGCCCTACATGTCCACACCATTGTAGCGGGATCTCTGCTCCTGCTTCTGCCTGGGAATGAGGATATCATAAGGCAGCAGTTCCTCTGGGCTCTTAGAAGAGGGGTTTCAAAACTCACTGGGAGTCTTAATCCTAAAGCCTTTAGCATTAAATTCCATGTGATCCGAATTTAATCTCCTGACTCCTGCCCCAGTGCAGAAGTCAGTTGGTGTTACTGCTTGAAAGGGAGACGAGATAATCACTAAATCCCACTGGTGCCATGTGCCCACTGGGAGCATCTGAGGGAGGGTGTGTGCCCTGGTGGCAGCACGGCCAGGCAGCCTCTCCCAGAGCCCAGACACCCTCCTGCATGAGCTATTCTGGGATTCTTGGGGGATCTCTGTCAGTAATGGGACATCTCCTAACTTTTGTGTGGCAATCTTCACGTGTCTCCCTATTGTACTGTTGCCTCATCTCCTTAGTCTCTGTCTGGTGGCTCCCTCGAGTTTCTGCTCTTAATTTTTCTTCTTGATTTGTTTCCTGAGTCTTGGGAATTTTAATATTTTTTTAGTGCATATGAAAAGAATAAAATTCTTCAAGATGAACAAAACTTCAGGTTGTGCTAAGCTTCATCACTTGAAGTTGTTTATTTGTGCTCCCCCCTGCCCTCTGACATAGCCCCCTCTATAAATGCATGTTGTTTCAGTAATAATCTTTATCTTTTACCAAAGGTTTGGCAGGAAGAGTATCCTTTTTTTGACGATGGCTGTGCAGACCGGCTTCAGCTTCCTGCAGATCTTCTCCACCAGCTGGGAGATGTTCACAGTGCTCTTTCTCATAGTGGGGATGGGACAGATCTCAAACTACGTGGTGGCCTTCATACTGGGTATGAATATGTCTGCATTAGATTAAATGTTTGTTTAAGGTGTTGTTACTCTTTTCCCCCTCTGAACCTGCATCATTTAATTAGACAGTGGTAAATCTTCACTGGTACAATTCCTGCTTTAAACCAGTATGATTTTTTTTTGCTCTTGGATCTTTCAAGCCTATAGTTTCTGTAGGTTTAGAGAAAAAGGAGAGAGCAGGAAGAGTCTAAATAAACATCCATTTCCTTCCTCTTTGGAGAAGACATTCAAGGCAACGTTCAGGGTTTAGCAGCAGCAGGTCTGAAACAGAGGAAGCATTTGGGTTCTTCCCTGCCTCTGCACCCCTTTGCAGAGGGGTCAGTGCATACCTGGGTGCAAAACCTTGGAGCAAACCAGTGCTTCCAGCACAGGGAATGTCAGGGGAGATGGGTGGGTGTCAGAGCCCCAGGAGCCAAGAAGTCACCGGTCTCAGTGTTGAGATTAGTGATAAAGTCCCTAATTTTAGAAGCTAAGGTTTGGGTTTGGGTTTTTTCTACAGGGAGTGCAGGAAGAAAGGCCCAGCAGCTATGGGGGGCTACATGGCTACAGTCACTGCCTGGGGACCCTGCAGGGAAGGGGGGACCCCATGGGGGACCCCAAGTGTCTCCCATAGGCACAGGGTTTTCAGGAAAGGCAACTGCAGGGGCAAACTGTGGGGCTCAGTGATGCAGGTCCAGGGGGAACTGGGATTTGCAAGAGCCTTCTTTAAAATGTGCACATCTATATTTATGGCTGTTTTTAAGCCACTGGGTGCCAGCATTACAGTTTGTAGATCATAATGTGAGCTAGATTATAACTGTATAGTAATAGTTAATGCTGGTCTTTCCTACCACATGAGGCTTTAATGGGGGTAAAAATAGAGCAGAAGGGCATGATATGAAGTGAGTGGTGTGGAGGGGATACAGCACCGTGTCCCCAGGCAGCTGTGAGTCACCCCTGCCAGCGTGCAGGGAGGATTTAGGTCAGGCTGTCAGCAGGGAGATCCCTTGTTGCCATCAGCACTGGCACTGCTGTCACCACTGGCACTGCTCCCTGTCCTGGGAGCTGACTGCTGTGCAGAGCCCATGGAGCTGGAGCAAAGGCTGGGAGGTGCAGATGGGTCAGGAGCTGGCCTGGCTGAAAATCCTC